AAAAAAAAAAAAAAAAAAAAAAGTGATACAATAAACATTTTGCAAGAAATATAATTAAAAAGTTAATGCCATATGTTTTGCACATTAAATAGGCAAATATAATAGTTCTGCTTCCTTTTCTTGTTACTTAAGGGAAAAATAATTTTAGTTGAACAAAACAGATGCACAAGGTCCTGAGTTCAATCCCCAGTACAAAAAAACAAAAAACAAAAAACAAAAAAACGAAACACCAAAAAACAACTTTGGTCTCTGCCCTTCACTATGCTTCTCTATTATAGCTGTGGTAGCTGAGCAGGTTGCTCTAATCACGTAGTTCATCTTTGTAGCAGCCTTAACTAATTTGGTTTAGAATCAGATTAAAACAAAACAAAAGTCCCTCCTGTTTTTCTGTCCAAACCTATAATTTAGGCTGTTCTGAACTTTTAAAAGAAAGTTTAGCCAGTTTTTTTTTCTCCAACCACAATTTGATATGATTTTCTTTTCAAAGGCACAAGAACTGTGCCACATTCAGTGATCCTAGAGTTAGTTTAGAGAGTGCACCTGATGATGAGGAGGAATTAGGTGGACCACTAAGTAGAATATTCTTCTGAGCAGCGGAGAGAAAGCAGGCTTGGAAACTACAGCTTAATCTTCATTGGCTCAGCAGGAAGAAGTGGCAAGTCAGGAATCCCGTCTTTGACCTCAGCATTTCAGCAGGTCTTTGTTTTCATATGGGCTTTTTCCTGTCCCCCATTTCATTTCCATTTTTTTCTCATACAAACATTTCCTAAAATGTACTAATATTTGGATACCCTCTGAGCTGTGAAAGGCATTTTCTTTGGGTTCAGTCTACCTAGGGCATGTAGTTCTGCTGTATGTTCAGCAGAATAAGGCATGCCGAAGTATTAAATTTTCTTATGTTTCTTCTTGAGTCATTTCAATGGTAGTTTCTCTTCCATTTGCTAAGTACAAAGCAGAAGCTTTTGGAGGCAGGGAATCAAATCACAAAAACTCCACTTGAGGATCGCGCAAACCAAACCTCTCGCACTTCCCCATAGAACTCCAACTTCAGCTTTACAATGGGTAGATGCTGGAAGGAGAGCTCTCGTTTAAGCAACTGTGAAAAGTAAACTCAGCTTAGATTCCACAGACAGACAGATAGAACATAGCTGTGTCAACTTGAAAATTCTTATTAAATCGACAAACAAGGGATCGTGAGACAGGTGATTTATAAAAAGGAAATTTGGGATGGTGATTAAGACTAGAACCAGGTTGGCATTGACTCAACCTTATTTAGCAGCTTTCTAAATAACTGACCAGCCAGGCAAATTTGATCTGAGATCTCTTAATCTGTAAAGACAATACATAATGCTTAGGAAGTATTGTAGGAGTAATACACCTATTGTAATGTCTAGGACAAAGTAATTCCTCAGTAAATGGGTCATTTCTTCTTAAAAGTATTCATTTATAAAGAGTTTGTTGTGTATATGCAAATTTCTTTGTGACTGACCAGTTGAATAAAGAATGGCAGATACTGTTTTTGGTACCAAATGTGCTCATGGATCAGGTAACTTGACTTGCTATTTAATAGTATCAATAACACTGGAGACAATTCTGCTGCCTTCTGCCTCCTGAGCTCCTATTTGTCCTTTAAGCCCTGCTCTTTTGTACCTTGCCTCACCCTCCAGATAGCAAGTGGCCTTTGCTCGCATCTGTGTTCTGTTGTACCCTGGCCACTATTGTGTTATTAATACCTTTACCTCAAGATTCCTACAGTCTTTCCTTCTTGACTGTGAGCATCTTGAGGCAGAGAATATTTTATTCATCTTTCCTCTTCTTCCCCTCTACTGTGCAGCACAGGACCTGACAGAGAAATAACCATTAGTTGGACTGAATTTAACTTAATTGAATCAACTACCTGCATAGAAAATAGTTCCGTGTTAAATGGTTGGGCCTCAAAAGACTGCTGGTTCACTTTGCAGCCTTGCTTTTTGATCTGGGCCCCAGGGTTGGCATAGCAACAGATTGCACATCACATTTGCTGTCATTTAGGAAGCTGACTGGCATGGCCTACAAACAATGTGATGTTATTTGGCTGCCAGCAGATGTCAGGTTTCTTGTGGCTTTGCAGTTGGATTTGCTGTTTGTCCTCTGGGGCATAAGTGGCTGTGCAGCTCAGCCTTCTGGAGTTAAGAAAAGATAGCCAGTGTGACCCCAGGGTATCAGCTCAGGAATTAGGCTCAAGTGTCCTGAGTTTCCTGGTGAGAGTGTTCCAATGGGTTTCTCTTTCTGTCCTTTACCTGGAAATAGGGGCATCTCCATTTGTAGCAGGTTTGTGTCCTTCAATATATCTTTAAGAAAACAGGAATTCATTATTCCACGTATGTTGACAGTCAAGAATTATAGGGACAGGGAGGAGGGGGTGAAGGGAGGGCAGAGGTAAGGGGAAAAATGAGAATCAAGACTTGCCATGTAGAGGTACATGATCCCAACAATGAATATAACTGTACTGTATCCCTAAAATGTACCAATAAACTCAATTAAAGCTGAAAAAAAAAAAAAGAATTATAGGGACATCTTTGTGGGAAAAAAAATCTATGTGTTATTTTTATGGTACAAAGTTTTTGTTTCTTAAGTTGTTGTTAAAGTATAGATTTCTTTGCAGAACTTTGATGTTCTTGAGAGGAAGATATAATTTAAATCTATTCCCTTGTATCTGCTGCAGTTTTTTTTTGCTGTCCTTTTAGTGAGTCTGTATTTCTACACTTGATCTTAGCCAAAAGTCCGAGAAGCGATGAGTCTATATTTCTTATTCCAGAATTCATTCACCTGTTTATTGTCCGTGACCCCCTAAAGGTAAGATGATGGGGGGGTTGCCCTGGATGAACACAATAAGAATTGCATTGTATAATTTTAAAATAATAATAAAGCCAACTGAAAGTTTTTCAATATCAATATGTACTGGTTATTCTAAACAAATTTCTGAAAAACCTCTTTTCTTGGTCTGAATTCCAAACCAATGCTATGGTTACTGTTGAATTTTGAAAATATACGTGTAACCTACAGATGGGCATATTTGCCTTACTTATTCTTTGATAAATGTTATTTTTATGTAGAAGTTAATTCACAGAACTCCTGCTTATTAAAAGTTATTTTTATTCCAAAAAAAGTTTTGTTTGTTTTTGTTTTTTGTTTGTTTGTTTGTTTTTTTGAGACAGGGTCTCACTATGTATTTGAGACTGACCTGGAACTCACTATGTAGCCCAGGTTGGTTTCTAACTCGTAGTGATCCTCCTACCTCAGCCTCCCGAGTGCTGGGGATTATTAGTGTGCACCACCACGCCCGGCTTAAAAGATTGATTTTTAAATGTACAACTAGCACCAAGACAATACTGGATTCTAGCTTTTTTTTTTTTTTTTTTTTGGTACTGGGGATCAAAGTCAGGTCCTTGTTCTTGCAAGGCAGGTGGCGGAACAACTGAGCTAAATCCCCAGCCCTTTTTTGCTGTGTTTAATAGGTTTGGAATCGAGGGTTACCATCGTCTTGGGCACAAAAACAACTTACTTTTTGTCAGATTTCTTAATGCCACCTGTGGCTAGGGGACCCTTCCCTGCTGCCAGTGCTTTTAGCTCCCAGAGTTTCATGCCTTCTTTTTTTGTTTCTGTGGAAAGCTTTCTCTTCCTCATCCACCTCCTTGACGGCATCTTGGGCTGTTTAAGGGATTTGTTCTTGCCATTTTCCTGGCCAGACATGATGCCTGCTGCTCTTCCCCAGATAGAACTGCTGAAACAGTTGGCTTGTGACACACATGGAGTAAACAGTGCACACACAGACACACATAAAGTGGACATTTATTATCTCATGAAGCTTCTGTGGCTGGGAATATGGGGGTGGCTTGGGCTCAGTCTTCAGGGACTGGGGTTCCATCACTTGAAGGCTGCAGGCTGCATCCCCTTGAGGCTGGCATGGGCTGGGAAATTTGCTGCCCAGAGTTACTGGCTGGCTGTGTGGGGTGTGGAGACCTTGGTTCCTCTCCATTTGGGGGTCTCCTAGAGCTCTTCATCATAGTGTCTGGCTCCCCCCAAGGAGACTATTCCACGTGCCCTCATTTTGTGAGTTGGTTCCAGAAAGGTCAGCACTGTTGGAGCTCATTTCAGGGTAACTGGAATCTCTGACCTTTCTGGTCCTACACAGGTCTGTGTTGAAACCATAATTTGAGATAAACAATGATGGTCCCGTGATTGGACAGGCAAAGAGACCACCTTTCTGTCTCTCTTTGTTATTATTTGAATTTTAAATTTGTATTTAAAATGTGAAACAGTACAGACTGTTCTTATGACTTGTATCTAGATGTCCTCCCAAAGCCTCTTGTGGTCAGAGGTGGGGAGTTTTAAAGGTGGCTGGATTAGGGTGTGTGACTGTGGATTAAGGGTGTGATGCTGGGATTAATGATGTGGATGAAGGATGTGAATAATGGAAGCCCCACCCTGGTTTGTAGCCTATGGACCATAAAGGGAGAGAGGGAAGGCAGATCTGCTGTTTCTTCTTTTCTGCTTTCTTCTTCCTGCCCTACAATGGACTCTTTCTGCTATATGATGCCCCTCTGCTGTGCCACCCTGCCTTGGAGCCAGCTAACTATGGACTGAAATCTCTTCCAAATGTGAGCTGAAATAAAGCTTTCCTCTTTGTAGGTGTTAGGTGTTTTATCTCAGCAATGAGAAAAATAACTAAGACAACTATAAAAGGTAAAATTTCTATTTGTAAGTGCAGATTTTAGTTCACACGTGACATTTAGTTGAATTTGTGCAACATCTCTAAGATGAAAATTTAATTTTCTTTTTAAATATTCTTGTTTTAAAACAAAAGAAGGAACAAGAATGTGTTATATCAGTATGATTTAATAGGTAAATTGTAATCTTTCTATTTCATTTTTTAAAAAATTGAAACATTGAAACATAACATTATATCATTTGTTATATACATAAATAGGAAAATTTATATTTGTTACTCATATGGGCCAATATATAGATGTAAGTTTTTCTTCTCTTTATTCCCCAAATACATAAAAGTAATTAAAGTATTGATGTTTTACCCTTTCTCCTTTTATAAATGGTAATATTTGTTTTCTTATCATTTGATTGATTATACTGGGAGTCGGACCCAGGGCCTTTTCACTGTGCTTACATTCCCAGTTCTTTTTTTTTAACCGGAGATCAAACTTGGGAATTTGTGCTTGCAAGGCTGGTGGCAGAACCACGGAGCTAAATCCTCGGTCTTGTCTTTTTTCTTTCTTTCATTATTTTAAGACAGGTGTTGCTGAGTCACTAAATTCCCTAGGCTGAGCTCAAACTTGCAGTCCTCTTGCCTCAACCTCCTAGAATGCTGGGATTCCAGGCAGGTACCATCATGCCTGGCTATTTAATTTAATTTAGGGTTTCTTTTTGAGATAAGAGTCTTGCTGTGTAGTTTGGGCTGGACTTGAACTTGCAGTAATCATCCTGTCTTGGCCTCCTGAGTAGTGCTGGGATTATTGGGATGTACTACTGTGGTTGGCACCTGGCTCTATTTTGTTCTTTATTATTTATTGGAATGATTATATTACTGAGTTCAATAAGCAATATTCCTCTCTGTACATTTCTGGCCATTGTTATTATTCATTTATTTTCAGCTATAGCTAAAAATAATTTTATATTATGGAGGTGAGTGGTGTTAAAAACTGATTTGCTAGGTATGCTAGTGCTTCAGAAGTACTTTTCCACGTAAACTTTACCGTCTCTACTAATTTCCTTGTACTCCTGTACTTAGTCAAGTAAGAACATTCTACTTTTTTATAACGTGTTCCTGGGAAACCTGTGCAGTACATCATCAGAACATTTGGAAAACAGATTTAAAATATATTCTTTTGAACTTGTACTGTTACTCATTTTCTTTTCATTCCAGTTACATTCTGTTTCCTTTTAGTCTTAGGAGAAGAAGAAGGTACCCACAAAGGAATATTCTGTGTTTTGAGCAAATGACATTAGGCACTTCTTCTCACTTGCATCATAATCTCTCCTGTGATTATGGCATAGCTCCTTTCAGTCCCGAAATGATTTTGTTCTAGCCTAATGATTATTTAAAAGATGCTGAATGACACTGCATCTGGTACTTAGGCCTCCTGCAACTCTAAGTGACAGGCCAGCTTCTAGCCAGGTAGAACCAAAAAAGTGAAAGTTCACTGCCAAAGACAGTCCTATAGCCTCTTAGTCCGAAGAGGAAGACATGGTTTCTCTGACTCAACTTGAGGACATGGTAGATGGAAATCATATCTAGGAGCAGGCACAGGAGAGAGAGGTGCCTGGATATGTTGGATAAGTGAAGAGCTGGTTAGACTTAACTTGTTCAACCAAGGCTTTCTGCATGTCCCTTAGACTGATCTTAATGAACAGCATCAAGTTCTTGGAATCCCTTCATAAACACAGACTTGGAAATATTTACTGTATTGACCTGTGAATTTCCTCACTTGTATTTTCAGAACTCTCTTAATAGACTGTTTGGAAAGATCAGAGAAGATCATTAATTCATTTTGTTTAGAGTGTGAAAGCAATACCTCCTTTGGGATACTCCCCATCTGGTTATCACTGTCATAGCCCAGCCTGATCTTTCTGCCTGCAGTCCTAATTGTCCCCTGTTTTGTTTGGCACAGGGTGAAACATCCCAGTCTTTTGGCCTCTTCCCACAGGGCCCACAGTCTGCTCGATGAGAGTCAGAGTTACTCTGAGATGATCACCTGAATGATGAATTAACCAAAGAGTTCATTAGCCACCTCACATAAAACAAAGATATTTCCTGAAGATAGGTAATAGATCAAATTATGGTGTGGATTCAGGCTTGTAGGGGGAATGGCAATACTGTTTCTGGAGAGAGAATTCTGGCTTTGGCCTTAGGAAGACAAGGGTATAAATCCTGGCTGCCTAAATTTATTAGCTGGGCAATGTTGGGCACATGGCTAACCTCTTTGAGGATCGGTTTCCTCGTCTCAAAAATGGAGATGATAATTCCCATTGCCAAGGTTATTTGGATAAGTGGGATAACAGATGGTAGGATGCCCAGCATGTTATAGGTCCTATTAATTGGCAGATGTAATTGTGGTATTTAGAGCCATAGGAGTTTCTGTCTGGATAGCTGATACGAAACACTGTTTTTTCTTAGAGTTAATAGGAAAACAGTCCATTGGAAGTTGTGCTCAGACACTTGGGGATTGTTAGTCTGGATGTTGGTTTTGCCATTTGCTTCGTGCAGGCTGTTTTATTATTCTCAAATTATTCTCCTTTGGAATTACTGGCATCTCTAGCAGTATATGTAATGCTGATCACAGAGCCATTTAAAGGTTAAAAGGATGATGCATTCAACTGGAGGAAAGACATTTTACTGAACAAAGCTCAACATTTACCTCTTAAATAGGGGATGGTTCTATGTATGGTTACAATGAAAGTAAGAAAATACTTTGGATGAGTCTCTTACATCTATATGTACAGATTCCAGCAACTCCGCCTCGGCAGACTTATGAATATAACTTGAATAAATCTTAAAATTATAAGTCTTACATTTTTCTTTTTCTTTTTTGTACTGGGGATCGAACTCGGGTCCTTGAGCTTGTGAGGCAGGTAGTGGAACCACTGAGCTAAATCCCTGGCCCTATGTTTTTCAACTTGGAGAGGAACAATAACTGATGCTTTCTCTTACATGAAAACCCCAGGTGGAGTATTAGGGAGCTGGAGAAGCCTCTGATAAACATCCTGAGAAGGTGATATGGGCTATTTATTTAGCCCACTAATCCAATGTATTTAATTCCTTTGGGTTTAGGAGGGAAGTAATTTTTTTCCTAGATGATGTAATTTCCATATTAAGTAAAACTCATTCTGGTGCCTGTTTTTTTTTTGGCACCAGGGAGCAAACTCCGGTCCTTGCACTTGGTAGGCAGGCGGCAGAACCATTGAGCTAAATCCCCAGCCCTCTGGTACCTGTTTTTAATGAATGGACTTGAGCGTTGGGAAAGCCATTGAATTTGTCAGTTCCTTTCTCTTTAGAATGAGGAAGCTAGACAGGCATTCACACCTTCTGCCCTCACATTCTCTGATTGTAATGTAAATCAGCAGGATGGAATGACTGCTGACATCTGTCACTCTGCCTCCTTCAAATGAAGGTTGTCTGGGCTCTGGAAGATTGTATACTTCTGATATCCAAAGGGAAGCAGTCATTTACACTTTTATGACTAGGGCATAAAAAGCAACAAGAAATTTTTATTTTTCATTCTACTTTTTCTTATCAATCAGGAAGTCATCGTTTCATCATTAAAGTTGAAGATTTCTATTGAGTGTTGCTGGGTAGCTTCTCAGGGTCCTCATCCTTTGCTCTGATAGAATGTGCTGTGTTAAAACCTTTCCCTCCTTCTATTGGAATTCTTTCTGGTACCAGGGATCGAACTCAGGACCTATGCTTGCAAGGCAGGCACGGTGCCACTGAGCTAAATCCCTGGCCCATTCTATCATAATTCATAAACTGTGCCCACTGGCAGACACAGCTCACTGTACTATTTTCAGGAAGATTCATTAAAAGTTTGCTTCATAAAGCTTAAAAGCTCGGGTAACCTGGCATTAATTAAATTAAATTAATTAATTTAAGACATTTGTGTTCTTATCAATCAAATTGGACTTTATCTAGCCTACTTTAAATTTAACTTAGTTTTGGTTAGATATTTTGGTGGTAGCCT